ATATCCAACGAGGCAGAAACAAGTACCTGTACCCCAGCATGGCAAAACTGTCTTCAGGAGAGCTCCAGCAAGGACGGTACTCGACTTCAAGAGTGGTGCTGTGCTGTACAGGCATTACTCATTATTACCCTGTGAGAAGGATACGCAAGGGTAACTTACTGTGTGTTGCGGTGTGGGAATACTGTCGGTTCAGCGTACTCTGTTGTATACTGTAGTCCAGCTCCACGGTAAGACGAGTTGCCGGGGAACCCCATTGTTACATCAAGATGACGTGTTATCACATGCGTTGATGCGTCATGCAGCCTTCTTCTCGCTGTCTCGCTCTGAACAGCGAGTATCAACCCACCGTGTGTAGTGGGCGGGGGGAGAGGGGGTGAAAGTGCAGCAGGAGTGGTGTAGAAGAACGGTGTGGAGGGACATGGGAAAGTACGCACGAATCGCAAGGGATCCGGATGCGGTTTGTGGTATGCATCCGGATGACATGGCAAGTGGATGCATCGGCCTGCGGCGTATGAATGTACGATACCGTACGACCCGGATGCAATTTACAGCTGCGGGTGTAAGAGCGGGGTCACGCGAGGCGAGTCGACGGCCAGATCGGGGCGCGACGCGCGGGCCGCCGTGCGCCAGTGACTGCCGGAGGCACGTGCTCCGTGGACAGCGCCTCCACTCGGCACGGCGCATCGTCCCATTCCACACGGCACGTGTCCACGTGGTGCATGCGCACGCACTGTTCCTTTTAATTCCTCCGCAGTCCTCGGCACCAACTCCCGCCTGCACCAGCGCTCGTTCCCGACAGGGGCTCAGGGCCCCGCCCCGCGCCCGCTGATAACCGCCCTACCTCACCTGGTCGCCCCGCCAATCGCGCCTCCCACCACCGCCCGCTAACCGTTACTGCACATCTCCCATCTGGTCCAACACACGCATTTCCTTCACCCTCCCAACACCACTCCTCACCCCTGTTCCCCTTCCCTCTTCCTTACTTTTCCCCCTCCCCTCTTCCCCCCTCCTCACACAAACTTCCACCAATCGTGCCCCCGTAGCCCGCCACCATGTGCAACCAGTCCTCCACTTCCTCCGCGTGCATTCCGCCGGCAGCCACGTCCGCCTCGACACTCCGCCATCGCAGCCCGCCCGCGCTTCTATGTGAGATCGAGCCGCTCCCCGTCAAGAGCGTTGCCGACGAGATCCGCGGCCACAAAGATCTCCATCGCGTTGCCCAAACAGCTCCTCTCCTGCTTAACCTACCTCCCGCTCCCCCGCGTCGCATCCTTCGCCTCCTCCTCAACCACCTCGTCGACGCCGGTCAAATCCCCGCCACTGCAATCAATGAGGCAGTGCATGCCCTTTTTGGTGAGCCCAACTCCTCCGCGCCTAATAATTCGTGCGCGCAAAACTCCGAGGATGCCTTTGATACCCTTCATCAACGCCCTCCAGGTCTTCCCCTGGATGCCGATAACAATTCTCGTGATCCCCAGACATCACGCGACACAAACTTTCGACACCCCGCAGACCAATTACCCGGTCACTGGCACAAAAATGTCCTTGGCTCGGGCTTCATCATCCCGTTTGCCAGGTTGAACGCTCTCAACACTTGCGATAGATGCGTCGTCGCCATAGCACGTCTCACTTCCAGTTGCAACCTCGGTGTGGCCAACGGTTCCCTTGTTCGTTTCGTTGTGCTCGTTCTTGGTCCGGTTAAGGAGCTCAAGGAGACAAAGACCCCCTTTGAGATTGCACGCACGCTTTCTGCAATGTTCCAAGATGACCAATTCTACTCCGACGCTCGCCTCGCTTCCAGTGACGGCCACTTTCGAGATGCCATTCGCAAATACCTCGCAAGGGAGACAAACCCAGACCCCTCAGAACAAGCCCCGTCCCCAGAGTCTATCATTGACAAGACTTTTGCTCGCACAGGCAAGTTCGCCGGCGGTCTTATTGCTGATGTAAGGCGCAGGTACAAGCCATCTGTCTATAAATCAGATTGGACAGACGGCGTCAAAGATCCCAGAAGTCTGCTCAAGTATCTCTCCACCACCGTCTGGCTCTTTTTCGCAATTATTATGCCCACAATCGCCTTCGGTGCACTTGATGATGACAACACAGACGCCAATATTGGTGTTATCGAAACCATCGTTTCCCAAGCATTTGCAGGCCTTACCTTCGCCACCTTCGCAGGTCAACCTCTCACAATCGTCATGACCACGGCCCCCATTACTGTCTTCATAGATGTCCTATTCAGTTGGTGCAAGACTCTTGAAATTCCGTTTCTCCCTTTTTACGCCTGGACTGGTCTTTGGACGGCCCTCATTCTCCTCGTTCTCGTCGTCACTGACGCCTGTTATGTCATGAAGTATTGCGGCCACTTCACGGAAGAAATCTTTGCCACCCTCATCGCAGCTCTTTTCGTCAGCGAGTACATCAAGCCTCTCATCCATGTCTATGAAGACTCCCCAACCGACGTCTTTCTTCTCGCTTTCTTGTTGGCGACAGGAACTTTCCTCATTGCCATGGCCTTGCTAAACTTTCGCCGCAGCTTCCTTCTCAAGCCAATCATCCGACAATTGCTCAGCGACTTCGGTGTACCCATTTCCATCCTGGCCATGACAGCCGTGCGACGAATCTTTTTGGATGTTGAAGCCGAGCCTCTGAAAGTCCCTGATAGAATTGGCATTGTCACTACTAGTGGCAGGTCGTGGCTCGTTCCCTTGTTTGACATTCAAATCCAGTATATCTTCCTGGCAGCTGTCAGCGGCGCTCTTCTTGCCACCCTCTTCTTTCTCGATCAGAACATTTCCTCAATGCTTGTCAACAAACCAGAGAACAAGCTCAAACAAGGACCAGGTTACTACTTGGACTTGGTCGTTGTCAGTATCATCATCGTTGTACAGTCAGTCTTCGGTATGCCTTGGACACATGCTGCGTTGCCTCACTCTCCTTTGCACGCTCGCCAGCTTGCTGATGTCGAAGAGTATGAGCAACATGGCAGAAGATATGAACGCGTCATCAAGGCCAGAGAAACCAGGATCACCGGTTTTGTCACTCACGTTTTCATTGGCTTGAGCATTCTCGCAAAGGATGCTTTGGGATTGATCCCACTATCCGTCCTGTATGGCTTTTTCTTGTTCCTTGGCGTTGGCACTCTTGATGGTATTGCGTTCTGGGACAGAATCTTGCTACTCTTCACGCAGTCCGAAAAGTACCCACCAAACCATTATGTTCGAAGAGTGAAGATCTCAAGGATCCACCTCTACACCTTTGTTCAGGTTCTGTTGCTCGTTCTGCTGTGGTTTGTCAAATCTAATTTCTATTTAGGAGATACCGTGTTCAACACTGGTCTGCTGTTTCCGTTCATCATCGCCTTGTTCATTCCGATACGATTGTATATCCTCCCCCGCATCTTCACCCCTGCAGAATTACATGCCCTGAGCATGGAGGAAGAGGAAAATGTCTCAGATTCCGGTATCACTTGTTAAAATCTATACTTTCTCCATGTAGAATAAATTATTCCAAACACGTTTTGCAATGTTTCGAAACTTGCAGATATTAGTCTTCGTAGGGGAGGGTGCCGCACTTATTCATATATCTTCCATCCAGCTCAAGGGTGTATCCGTGACTTAGAAGTGTGACCGGCGAACGACATTTTCGAATTGTGCGTGTTCTTCACCCCGATATTTCAGTTGCTGTCATTCTCAAGTTGCCAAAGGTGCATCTGAGTGCAATGAAATGTATTGTTCTGGTCGAGCCTTGATATGGCTGTAGAAAAACTTGGACAAACATAACTTGACTAGGACCTTTGATGAAAGTCCAGGCCGTGGAATGCGATGCTTCCTATTATTGTTGACGGCCCTCAAGCCACGTATCGAAGAGGTAAGTCTACTGCCTCGTCACGGTCAATATACTTGCACAGCATTACTCAGCACAGTCCTTGTACTCCTGCAGCCATAGTCTTGACAGGAGGTTCGTGTGATATGAAGGCTTCGACTTCAATTATCTTTTTGGCCTTGCGAGAGAAATGGGCAGCCGCCTCATTAGAGCACTCTCCTGCGAAGCAACAAAGACATTGTCCATGACAAAGAGCGTTTCATGCCATATTGACTTCTTCACAATCTAACTGTCTGTGCCATTGACCGTCATTTCGAGTTGCCGTGGTCACTTTCAGACAGTCTTTTCGATCCCCAACGGTGCAATAACAACACGAGAAATGCAACAGATAGGCAGGCCGCATGTGGAGGCGTCTTGGTTCTGACATGCTGCGAACCCTGAGGGCGTTGGGGCATCACCGGTGAAGCGAAAACGAGTGACAGAGAAAAATAGTAACTCACATTTGGCAACGGCCTTGAGCAGCCCTAACCGGCAGGCCTCCTTCATTACCGTCGCCGAATGAAAGGTAACGATTTTGCACCAACAGTCCATCTGGACAAAAATGAGCTCTGGATAGCTCATTTTTGCTCGACGTTTGAGGATTTTTTTGAAGAGGGGATGCTGTAAATTACCCATGGCCCGATGAGCTAAGCCGAAAATCATACAACGTAGTCAGGCATCTCCCCCAATTTCCGTAATGCTGGAGCAGGCACCAAGACTACCATGTTCGTCTCTAACACAATCAAGCGTGTTGATGAACAAGATGTCGACATCTTGGTCAGGACGAATAGTTATACGTACTGTACTTGACAAATATGCGGAGTCTACTGGAACAAGAAGCCGAAAAGCGACTACGGTACTGTACAGTAGAGGATAACCAAATATAGTTCCAGGGATTTAAAAGGTTTCGGTGTTGTATAGTAACAACAAGCTTCACTAGGAACACATGTACTACACCATTCCTAAAAGCTGCTCTCCAATTTGCTGGATTGCGAGCATCTCTCCACCGGGCAATTGCTCAACGCCGAATGACCCACTGCAAGCATGATGTACAGCAAAGATAGCTTTACAACACCTTACAACACCTTAAGATACATTCTCCTCTGTAGTTGAGTATACAACTTCCAGCATGATTTCATTTCGTCTCAAATTCGGCAAGGTCGATGGACCGTTGTATATCATGCATTTGTAGCTTGACTCTGCATCGGGTCCAAGGGCGATATTATCACGAGCGAGCTTATCCATCAGCTTCTTGCGCTGTCTCTTTGCTTCCCCCTGAGTAACGAACCCGGTGAATTCTGACACGGCAAGCACTTGACCGGCCTGCTCGCGCAACTTGACGGTATCATCGAGAGTTTTCGGCACGGCCTCCACGCTATCATATTCGCCAATGATAAAGCTCATCGTTTCTTCCGGTTCACCTTTGCTCAGAATAACTGGCGTCGTCATCTTCATGGCTGTCTTGCTCTCATTCTTGCCGAAGAGGAACCCCGCAAGGTTATTAAAACTTTGTCCCATTGCCGATGCGCTCTCTACTTCAGTCGCACCTGACGCTGATGCCGTCTCTGATGTCATTTTCGTTTCCGCAATGATCAAAGTAGGATATTGACGGATCTCATACCCTTCAAACTGGCCTAGAACCTTGAAATCTGGCGTAAACAAGCCCTCTGGGGTCTTATTAAAGATGTTGCGAAACTCTCGTTGTACCTCCTCTGGGGAGACAGGCGTCGGCATTTTGCTGGGCATGCCACTTGAACTGGATGACATGCCGGAAATGGCATTCGGAAAGTCCTCAGCAGCCTTGGCGACGTATCTTGGTCCATTCGAAACGAGGTCTGGGAGCAAGTCTTCTTGAAACTGTCTGATGACGTCGGCCACGCCTTGTAGTCCAATATCGGCGCATCCCTTTCCCGAGAGAACATCATTGAACACTTCTGGAGCCCGTTTTGCCAAGTCTTGGACAAGCACCTGCTTGACTCCAACCGGCATGGTAGGATCTAACAACATCTTTAACTCCTCCTGCCATGAAGCGGCTTTCTCTTTCCGGGAATTCACGGGGCCTTCGTTAACGCCTCCAGAGGAATTGGAGGACGCCAGCATGGTTACAGGACGTGCGTTAAAGCGAGCGACGACACGGGGAGACCTGCCACGCTTGGTACCTAGTACACGCCTGCATTTTGAAGGGAGCACGGGAGAAATGGCATTCACGAAAGCTGTCATTTCGCCGAACGACGAGCTCAACATGAAATTATAACGGTTTGTGGCTGCCCTTCGTAGTCGGTGCTCAGTTCTTAGATACAAGATAACGAAGCCGATTAGACTGTGTTTAGACGCGGTGAAGCTCTGCCGTCTGTGCGGTTGGTGTTGCCACTTGAGCTCTGTTTCAACCGTAATCCGCCTCACTACATGTTCTGTGACGGCCTCCGTGACAACTTGCCTTAATGTGACGAGAAAGTGACCGCACATACGACCTGGCTATAAAATGGATCACGGATTCATTCCGATGACAATGCGTTATGTTGACTGACACCACCACTCTGACAGCTGGTGCTTCTTCACGGCCATTGCAGTTGTGATTGGTCAGAAAAGGGAAAACATGTTAACAATGTCCTCAGCCCATCGCCCCCCTCCCATTCTCATACCCAAATCCAGCTGGAGGACAGACTCTGCCTGCAGCCTGCGGCCTGGTAATTCAATTACGCGCCCCCCGAAGCAACGTCGTGCTAACCATTCCCTCGTTACCGAACATACCCCGGCCAACCCAAGTGCCGGTTCTCACCTCTTCCCCTCCTCTCTCCTGGCCTTCACCATTTTGAAGTGCGGTAACAGTGAAACCCAAGGCCAAGGTCCTTTCAATCGCTTGCTCATTCTTGTGCGAACGCGCAGTATCTAAATTGCTGCACACTTTCCAACGCCTCGCAACGAAAATGTCACACCAAACATCTGGCGACGTGCACGGTAGCGGTGACTTCGACTTCAAATCTTTTTTTCTCGACATCCCGCCCGTCACCCGCACGCTCTTTATGGTAACTTTCGTATCAACGGTTGTCACCGGATTGCATCTGATCCCATATAGCCCTTTCATATTGGAATGGAGCCCGATTATCTACAAGTTTCAGATATGGAGGCTAGTCCTCACTTTTTTCCACTTGGGAGGACTGGGTTTGGGCTTCCTCATCAACTTGTACTTCCTGTACACGTACTCTCAGCAACTTGAACGAGGCGTCTTCTTTGGAAGGCCTGCCAACTACGCATGGTTCCTCACTCTCGTGGCCGTTTTCGTCTTGATTTGCACCTCAGTTCTCCCATCTCTATTTAACGGGAGCGCATTTTTGATCGCCATCATTCACCTGTGGGGTAAGCACGCCGACAACGTCATCGTCTCATTATATGGCTTCATCAAAATCCCGGCCAAATACTTCTCACTTACCTTGGTTTTGCTGGACGTTATCAAAGGCGGTTTCAACATTTCGGGTGTTCTAGGACTTCTCGGCGGTCATTTATATTATTTCTTCGACTCTGTCTACCCTACTATGCCGCAAGGCAAGAATCTAATCTTCGTTCCCATCTGGTTTGAACGTCTCATCGATCAGATTCAAAACACTCTTGGGTCCCTCACCACTTTGCAAAGAGTATCGCCAGTCATGGAGTCTGGGCCTGCGGCGAGAGGCTTCGGTGGTTCATCTCGAACTGGAAGTGCGTCTGGGAGGCAAAGCGGTGCTGCGACTACCTCGGGGGTGCGAAGCGGATTCACGATGCCAATTTCCAGGTCGAAACATCAATGGGGTTCGGGACATGCTTTGGGGTCATCATGAGCCTTTCTGGTGAACAACACGCTGTCAACTACTTGAAAATGTAGTGGTTGACCCCATCGGAGGTAGGAGTTAATGTAAACTCTCACTTCACATGAGCCACGTTATTTTCCTCGTGCATACCAAACCTGAATACGCAAACACATTCGGCACAGCAAAATGGGCATTGCCTTCCACGCGATGGCGTCTTTTTTCTCCTTATGACTGATGTCGAGGAGATATGAAGACGAGTCAAAGTGGTACAAGACAAGAACCAGGTAGTCCTACACGACCTATCGCGATGTGATAGTACATCTACCCGATCAATCCTCGTTTGTATTGAACAGGCTCTAGTGTCCGTGTCCGGAAGACAGGTCAAGGCCAACGGTGTGAGGACACCATTCCTCGTCTCCCGCTGCCGTCCATGCAAGCTAGACTGTAGCTGTTGCACTTTTCCTTCGACAGAATGTTCAATACAATGTTAAGAGTCCAAGGTTGCGATTTCACTCTTGTCTGCAGCCCTTCGCCTCATTCAACGCGTCTTGTTACAGCAACTGCTGCACCACGCGCACCGTGACTTGCTTGACACTGTACTTTCCTCTCACAGCAGTCCATTAAAATCTAGCTTGGCAAGTCTTTTTCTCCCTGACGATACAGGGTTTTCCGTAGAGACGCTGTTGTCCAGAAAGAAAGGATTGAGGTTGTCTTTTTCAGCCAAGCTTCCATTCGCCTGGGCCACCAATTCCTCTGCTCGGGAAGACATCATCTGGGAATTCCAAGATTTGAAGCCTGTGGACTGCTTCACTTGATGTCCACCGCCGCCATGGGATCGTTCTGATGTAGAGTCAAGAGCACTGACCGGAAGGACAAGAGAGCGTCGGCTGTGTCTGAGTGGCGTGAAAGGAAATTGGGAAGCCGCATTTGGTTTAGAGGAACCCGGGGCACTGCTGGTCTCGGGAACAGTCATTTTTGTCGTATTCAGTTTAAGTCTTTCCAGCATAGCTCTATTTCTTTCGACGTCTTCTTGCAGCTTCTCATGTGATACTGGATCCTGTTCTCTCTTGCGATTTGGATCGAGAACTTTCCAAAAGCTTTGTGTAGTACGCACAGCCACGTAAAGCGCCTTGAATTTACGAGCTACATTGAACTCTTTGAGTTTGCTGTTCGGTAAATCAGAGGTTGATTGGGCGGCCCGGAACCACGGATGAACCAATGCCTCGGTCGGAGTAATACGGCGATGTGGGTCGATTTCTAGCATCCTTCTTAGAGCATCTTTGGCATCGTCGGAGACGTGGTCCCATTCGGGAGCTGGGAAAGAGTAATTGCCATTGACAATCGCTTCGACGAGGACATTAGGACTATCAGATGGAAACGGCGGATAACCACACAAGACCAAATAAAGGACAACGCCCAAGCTCCACATATCGCAGGCGCAGTCATATCCGCGGCCATTCAAAATTTCCGGGGCGACAAAGAGTGGAGTGCCCATCGTTTGATAAAGGAGCTCGTCTGGTTGCATTTTTTCTGAAAACCCAAAATCCGTGAGCTTTACGGGCCACTTGTCGGAGCAGTTGTCGACAAGGATGTTCTCCGGTTTAATATCGCGGTGCACGCAGCCTAAATTGGCCAGAAACTCAAGCGTTAGCAGCGTGGCGCGCAATAGTACGCGTGCATCATTTTCAGAAAAGCTGCCTCTGCTTACAATGCGATCCAGCAGAGGCCCGCCGTCAACGTATTCCATAATGAAAAACATATGCTCCTCCGTATCCAATGAATCGAGTAACGTGACGATGCCAGGGTGCTTCGATACGGCCTGCAAGACTTCAAGTTCGTTGCGGAGAAGGGCAGTGGTGTCACCATCGAGCTTATTTTTTTCCACCGCCTTGATAGCAACTTGTACAGCGTCGGAGCGACGCTTGGCCTTGTAAACCGTCGCAAAGCAGCCGCGTCCTAGCTTGACACCCGGCTCGTACACAGCTTCCAGTGAAGGATGCCATGGATAGTCTTTGGAAATGGAGCCAGAAGGGATCGATGTGGCCGCAGTTTTGCCTGGTCTGGAAATGGTGGTAGACATTTTGACGTGAGGAATGACGAACACGCTCCGAGGACTGACCCTCTCAACGTGAGAAGGTGAAGAGCGGGGATCGACCCTTCCAAAATACGAACGCTTTCAGCCGTGTTTACGGAGGAGGTCTAAATGAAATGGCGCAGTGTTCAAGTCGCATGCTGTGCGTTGTATGGAAGTTCGGACAGGGAGGGTGCAGTGGTTATCGATTGGGCTTGGCTTCGGATGATGCTTCGGATGATGGAAGATGGCACCCTCTGAAGGGGCTGCAAGGGGAGTAAAGGGAGGGAGAGCGATTAAGTACCCTTGGATAGTTGTACCTCAGCGCAGGCACATCAAAAACATGTCTGGGCCTCCAGAGGGCGTGGCGTCCTTTAAGACAGCATGGACGGGCATGTTTGGACCGAGCAATCCTTAGAGAGGCCCTGAGGGCCTCAGACCCGTTCCTAACTCGCAGTCCATCACAAAATTTTCTTCTCTTGACTTCCAGCAGTGCGTATCTACCAGGCCTTTAAATTGAATTTTTCAAGAAAAGCGCTGTAAATGGTAGTACTGTACACGTGTACAGAGCGGAAAATGCCCTTGCAGGACGTCTACGTTTCACACCAGAGAATCTGGTGCTGACCATTCTCGCGTCTATCTATACCTTCGTTCACTCGCCCCTTCCTTCAAGTCATGCGGACCACCTCCCACTCCGGTCTCCAACGCCGCCAGGTTTCCTCCCCCCTCCAAGCCCTTTTCCTTCCACCCCACCATCCCCCGCTTCTCCCCCGAACGCTGATACTCCATTCGTCTTCTTCTTTGCCACGCTCGTTGTCCGTCCTCTTCTTCTTCCCGAATCCCCTACACCACCCGCCATCCGCCACCGCCACTCCTAGACCATATTTCGTTATGGGAAGAGGGCAAGTTCTGAAAAAAAGTATTAGTGCGGGAACGGCGCGAAAAGTAAGGAACAACTACAGCACAGCTTTTTTAGCAGCTATTGCAGCTTCGGTACTGGGAGACGACACGCTGAACGCTGTGGCAGCTAGGTTGCACTTGGATCGAGTTGCGAGTTCGCCACTACGCGGTCATCGCCGGGTTAACATTGTGCGAAACAGAACCAACATTTCTTTCGAAGAAAGTAATGCCATCTCCATTGATAAAGAATTCGATGGCCAGTGCAGTTGCAGTGGTGAAAGTTTGCACATCTTGCCATGACCTTGCCACTCCCGCTTCATATGCTGTCGTGGAGTTGCTTCTTGAGAAACTACTCCGGATTGGACGTGAAAAGCGTTGTACGTTTTCTTGTTTTTGCTCTGCTCACGACGCTTCCTGTGGCCATTCAGTGAGTTCCACTTGCCCCTTCTTCTTCTTGTTCATTGTTGTGCAACCAGAATAATAACCAGTAGCTCACCTGCACTTGTTGAGACTCTTAGCTACTTACAGTCAGGAGATAAAGTTAATGTCAAAGATTAACATCGAACTGTCCAATGAATAAGGTAGAAGTTAAGAGTGGTGTGATAGGGAGATTCGGGAAAGAATCATCCCGGACTTAGGAACGGGCCTCAGAGGGCGATGCGCAAGTGTACAATTTGGATGCATTTTGCAGATGATGATAACTTCACTCCAGTGCAGCCTGAACTAGGGTTGACACCAATCGAGTCGCTCGCACCCTAAAAGGGTTCTACCCATCCTTGACTGTACACAACGTGCCTCCCACGAATTTCACGTGTTCCACGTGTACCCGTTTATGTCCTACAGTATTCTGATGACTTGTTGGCGTGGCCACTTCCAAGAGTCAATCAATTTCCCTCTCCTGACCCATGCTCTTATTATCTCTGTACGCGTCAATGTACAAGAAGGGCCCACCCATTCTTGAACAGTACCACCACCACTTGAACAAAATCAAAATATGAAAAATTTATCCAGAAAAACGAAACTTGATCAATAAATACTGCATTACTCTCCATGACGCCTGAGAAAGCCTTTGTAACATGGCGGGAAATGCAAACAGCCCACTCTAAAGCACATATTCGAACTTGCCACCCTCGATAATCCCAGTGCCCATTGCCGCGTTGGATACAAATGCAAATCGAGTCCCCAGCATGCAATCTAGACTTGACACAAATACCGAGACTGACAATCATCGACATTCGCCAGTCTTCATGGCAAGAGCTAAAAGACTTTCTAAAGCTGAGAAATGCTTTCAAAACGCCATCATAGCTACTGAAAAGCACTATGTATCTCGCCGTCGTGCTGCACTAATTGCACGTCTGCCTCTTTCCACTTTCCAATATCAGTTGCAACACAAAGACTATCCACCACGATCCCGTTCATACGTCACCAACTCCGAAGAAAAGATCATTGTTGATCTAGTTCAGCGTTATTCAGGCCGGGGTTTCCCGCTAAACCGCGAAGACATCAAAGATGCTGTTCAAATGGTAGTAAACTCTTTTCCTCAGCACCGCCAAAACACGCTTCCTTTCATAAACAATCGCCCCGGCAAGGCGTTTTTGGGAAACTTTTTGAGTGGCCATCAAGATGACATAAGCTTTCGCCGTACGACTAAGGAACAGAAGATTCGTTGGAGAGCCTGCAACGACGAAACCTTGACAACTCATTTTTTATCCATCAAGAAAATCAGCCAGGACAACAGTATAGACTCATTTCACATCGCAAATTTGGACGAAACGGGCATTTCCCCAAACAAAGACTGTCTAAAGTCTGAAAAGCGCAAACATTTCGTCACAAGGTCATCTTTTGCGGTTCAAAGGTCCCCAGAATTCCGAAACATTGAGCGTATTACAATGATGCCTGTTATATTCGCCAGTGGGTGTTTGGGGCGACCCCTTTTCGTTGTGAAAGGCAAGTCTCTAAATTTTAGAGTATCGAATTACGGAGATGGAGAATGCGTTGAAACTGTTACTGATTGCCTTCGTAATGGCAGTTTAATTACCACACGTAAACATATCGCCGGAGTTGACTCCAGCAGCTTCATGGAATGGGCAACATTTTTCGTGAAAGACAACTTTGAGCACACAAGGAATGGTCAAAAAATGCTCCTACTTATGGATGGATATCGCAGTCATATGACGTTTCGTGTGTTGGATATGTTTGACAGAGCTGGTATTTTTGCCTATGCATTGCCATCGCACACCAGTGGAGTGACACAGCCCTTAGATGTTGGCGTGTTCGGACCTTTCAAGATGCACTTGCCTAATCTAGTTGAGAGACTGTCATCTGCCGATAACAGTAACGTTTATGACGCATTTGATTTTTTGAAGCTGGTAACGAAAGCCTACACAATGGCCTTTACAAGAAGTGATATTGAGAAGGCATTTGGGAAATCAGGTATCTATCCTTTAGACTGGCGACCTTTATTGAACGTATCGCGCCCAATGTCTTATTAGGAACATACTAAGCGAATCAGCGTTGAGGATATATCGAAAATGATCAATAAGAAACGACAATTACAAAGAGATGGCATTGGATTGCAGCCGGTGGTATTATGTCGCGGTTTATTGTACACTGCAGTTGGTTTATGTTTAACATCTGGGGCGGCGCTGCAGAAAGCCAAGGAGAAAAATATTCTAGACAGTGCGCGAAGGGCAGTAAAGGAAAAAAAGGATGCGGTGAAGGTCCAACGTGAGACCGTGTTATATGCAAAGACAATGAAAGAATGTTTGAGAACTGAGAAACAGGCTCTGGCTCTGCGTGTCAATGCGTATGGCGTCCGTGATTTAGCCCCACATCCCGTGGCAGTTCGTCTTCAAGTAGCGAAGCGCATCGTCTGTCAGAAGAAGGCCGAAGCTAGAGCAAGGAAGGTAAAGGAGCAACTTGGTCTTGAAACTTTTCAGTGTCTGTGAGCCAACGTCTTTGATAGCAAATGAAAAATGACATCAGGTTAACCCATTTCGATAGCAATGGAGGTGGCGTGCATCCACCTGCGCTTGAAATGTTTTTCTGACGATAAAAATTTGCATGTCCAATTTGAATTGCCCAATTACTGTAGTGTTCAAGTTTGGTGTCCGTTTTTGCAGAAATGCCTTGTTTGAGGTGATGCTCTCACGAGAGGCGACCGCGTTTGCCGTAAATGAGGCGATTCGCCGTTTACAGCACAAGATTCGGGGACCCGTGCTCTGTTTAGCCATGTGAAAATCGGCTTCGGCAGATGTTTGGAAGCTGATTTTTCGTTTATTTTCATAAAGTGTACAATTTCGGGGGGTACCAACTTGTACACTGTGTGTATACTACTGTAGGGGTGAAACTCCACGGGAAATAGCACGATTTTGTAAGCACTTACTGACAGCCGGGCGTCTCGCTGTACCCGCCTCGCCGCCGACCCATAAGTAGTAGAAGCGAGCTGTCCTATCCCGCTACAGTCGACCCTACGCATTAGTGCCGCCCTGTGTAGGGACTAATAATACGGCACTAATTCGGAGCGTAACTATCAGAAAGCAGAATCACTACCCGGCCAGAAGTCTGCTGTTGTTGCCTGACCCTGTCTCTCATGCCTAGCTTCTAGAAAAGCTCGTTTTGCGGACCTCAAGTGCGATAAGGCATTGCTCACATCGCACTCCACACTCAGACTCTCCAAAGACCCAAACAACCTTGCTAACACTACAGCACTCGGTACGGCCCGCCTCTCCATAATTTCACACTCGCCTTCTGCCACACAATCATCCATCATAGCATCACTGGCAGACTGCTTCGGTAGCTCTCCACCATAATGTATTGAATCGCAAGCATCACTAATAGAAGCTTCTGCCACAAGCTCATTAGTCTCGATCTCAATCCATTCCTCCACATCGCAGAGTGCAAAGTCTTTGTTCCGAGCGTTGTAGCGGTGTTGGTCACAATTTGTTGGAGTGAAGGAAGAGATCGTTTGATGTTTCGGATGGTTCGCTCTGAAATTTTGAACTGACGCATAACTGTGGCATTCGCATTCCCGACCTGCAGCAGATGCCCAACCTCGATTTTCTGTGCAATCGTAAGGCGCGTACGCTTCGCTTTGGCGATCTTTTCAG